GCAATTTTTACAGCAAACACACTGGCAAAGGACGGAAGGATCTTTGATGGAACGAACATGGCAATAATGGTCTCTCTTTGATGGCTTCTGCACTCCGTGTGAGTACAATTTGACAATGCATTGCATAAATTTTGACTCTCCCTCTGACGAACTGGCAGCGCCCGGGAACGATGATATCTGGCAGAGTTGCAGCTCTCCTTCTCCGCCCCATATTTCACTGGGAAATTCCCCATCAGTCAATCCTGGCTGGCGCGAAATAGAATTTTCCACCCTCATCTGAGACGTATTATTTAAAAAGGGGGTCGTTCGGCAGACGGGAAGAATGTGTGATTGACATATTTGCCATTTCCGCTTCCATTCTTGTACATCTCACACGAGTCAACTTCAACAACAATATTTAACATCAATCGACGTTGATTTCGTGTTGTTTCACCCCCGACGAGGGGCGAAATGCTTTCAGAGTGCTGCGCCGGAGAAGCTCTCCATCCCCATAAATATCTGAAAGCCACCCCCCCGCGCACCCCTTGTGCTTTCGCAAGGAATCTAATGCAACGCTATGCGATGCTCTTGAGTGGTTTGGTATTCTTGCAATATTTCATATTATTCCTCGTAGGTCTTTTTTGCTCCATCCGGTCGCGCTTGGGGTCGAAGTTTGGGGTGAGTTCCTCGCAGAAATCATGCTGCGCAAAAGGAGGGTTTGAGAGTCAAAATTTCTGCTTATGGCTGCACTTTATATCCATACGGATGGAAACATATTCCACACCATCTCCGCACAACACCCACACACCCGATAGAGAAAATATTGAGGTTGATGCTCAGTGCTTGTGTTTCTTTTTCCCACCCTCCCCCTTGTGGCCTCCCCTTGGCGCACCGCGAAACTATATTACTTCCAATCCTCAGCGAAACCCATCCATAAGATACAGAAGTTATTGCTTCGCCATTTCTCTATTTTTCCCAGCACGAGGACTCCCTTTTTGCTCTCACGCTTCGCCTTTCCGGGATATCTTTTAGGGGTGGTGAGGGGGGGGGGGGGTGGAAAGTGATCACTCTGGTAGATTTCATATAAAATTCCCCTCCTCAGCAACTTTTATCTTTTGCACCAAATACATGGCCCGATTGTGGGGGTGGGATTTTCATTTGTGGCTGCCTCTTTGCCAAACTGTACGGCAAGTTTTTGCTGAAGACGCCTTGCGTCTGTTCTTCTGGCCTTTCTTCAGCGTCTTGCTGACAGATTGGAGCACCTGAGTGACACAATCAGATGCAGATATTCGCTGACATTTCATTTATCCCTCAAGATGGGGGTGAATTATTAAAATTATTTGCAAACGGAAAGGGAATTTTGCACAGTTGCAATTTTGTTGAAATAAGCCAACATTCTCACTAAACTTTCACTTATCGCCGCCAGAATTTCACACACGTCGCCAGCAAGAGCTCATTTCATTGCGGAAATTCCATCAGTTTTGCCTAATGGATGCGAAAATGTGCGCATTCGGAGCGCGTGAATGTGCAGAATTCAATCAAGGTGGCGGAAATTGATTTTGCCACCTTCTAATTCACTGTTAATTGACGACGCGCTATCAATTGGATTGTGTCGAATGATAAGAAGATTCATCGCATTGTTCACAATGTCCAGAGGTATTCATTTGGAGCGAAAGCTCGCATTATTGTGTCTATTGAATGCAAAATGGATTGGCGAGTGTTGCTCTTTCTGTCCGCACAGAGGAGAGAATCAAGGATGACTTTCATCCCTTCTGGCGCTCCAGAGTCGTCAGAGGAGTGCGAATCCATTTTCCTTCGCATGTGACTACATTCGCTGGTCGTGAGAAAAATGTTGAGGTGACTTCTTGTGTGCTCATCGCTTTGGCACTTTCGCCCAGGTTTCTCAGGAGGGCGGCAGACTTGCGATGGAGCATTCCATATTTATTATTCACAGCCCTATAGTCACGTACAGCGAGTTCTCATACATAACAACATATTCACTTGCTGCTCTTCTTCACAACTTTACCCTCTCTCGTGAGTTGGGGATTTTTCCCAGAGTCTGGTGGGATGATGAAAAATAATTCAAGCTGCGAAAATTGAACTTGTTGAAGTAACTTTTGAGGCATAATCAAACTTGTATGGACACGTAATTGGCTTTCCCCAGCATTAGTTGGGGGTTTCATAGTTGAGGCAAAAGGGTGGTGATTGCACTCAAGCGGGCAAAATTCATCGATAAGACGAAATTCCATTGAGTTCACGCGTTCAGAAAAAGCCCCCAGTAAAGTGTACGGAAATTTTGAATTGTATCCCAAATTGGGGACTTTTCTTCTGTTTTTTCCTCACACCCTTTAATTGAATTCAACACAGTGTTTTCATCACAAGAACCACGAGAGAACACAAATCCAGTCAACATCCTAATTTATCCCATTTTAGTCCCTCTTCCATCACAAGAAGAAAAAAAAAGGAGGAGGAAGAGAAGGAAAAGGAGCCAAAGCAGAAGCTCGCATCCTAGGAATACTCATGAAGAGATCAAAAGTTTCCACTCAGAAGCACTGGCAGACATAAAGAAGACTTTTTACTGCCTCTCCGTTGCGGGGGTAAAAGTTTTCTTGAGCCACTTTCGTGCGAGGGTTCGCCAAAGACAAGACAGAGGGCCACTAACGTATGCGAGAAGCGTGCCAAAATGTGGTGATGGAACTTTTTCAACCAGTTAATCTGCATACATTTGATCCCTTCCACCGCCAAGAGTATCCTCGGCATGCGAAATGCCATAATACTCCTTTTTGCCAACTATAACACATTTCACTGTGGGAGAGCACGCTTCACGCATTCACTGAATTAAAATATAAAGTATCACTCTATTGTCAGCATTTATGTCCTGTTTTGCATCTGTGTGAAAGGCACGATTATGTCCCCATAAAGGACACAAGAACAAACAATAAAACTACCCCCAGAATGTCTTGTATGGCTTTCTTAAATTATGCATAGCTTCTCAACTAATTTTGCAATCATTTTGTTCTTTGCTGCGCGAGAAGTTTTTCTCTTAAAAATCAATTAAGTCGATGAGGGTGAAAAAAAAAATGGAGATACTCCTGGAATTTCCGAGCGAAAACCACCCACTTCCACATCCACTCAACTCCGCAACACTCCTCAAGGAAGCTGCTGACAAGGGGCAAATCACAAGGCGATTTTTGAGGAAACTCAATGTTCTCTAATCAAACAATCAATTATTTGAGTGAAATAATCAAAAAATGATCATTTTCCCAAGTAAAATTGGAAAATATTCAAATTTTGAATAAAATAATCAAAAAATGATTATTTTTCCAAGTAAGACTGAAAAAAATGAATGAAAAAAATCAAAAAATGAATTTTTCCCAAGTAAAATTGAAAATTAATAAATTTCTGAATAAAATAATCAAAAAATGATTATTTTCCCAAGAAGAATTGAAAAATAATAAAATTCTCAATTATAAAAACAAAAAATGATTATTTTCCCAAAAAAAGATTTCAAAACAATCAAAATAATCAAATTCTGAATGAAATAATCAAAAAATGATTATTTTCCCAAGTAGAATTGAAAAAAAACTAAATTTGAATGAAATAATACAAAAAATAATCAGAATTTTGAATAAAAAAAAACAATTTTGAATGAAATATTCGGAAAATTAGTTTAAAAAATAACCAGAAATAGTATGAAAAAATTAAAATTTGAATTAAAATCACAAATTATCAAAAAATGATCAGAATTTGTATGAAATAAACAATTTTTAATCAAATATTCAGAAAATAATCAGAATTTGTATGATATAACCGCAAAATTTGAGTAATAATCACAAATAATCAAAAGTTCACAAAGTAATTGGTCTCAACTCGCGAGTGACTGGCCCCTTGTGTGGCTGAGGAAGTCGAGGCTAAGGATGTCTCCGGAGGACGGTGAGTGTCAAAGAAAATGCGAAGCACGCGGGAAATGCGTGAGGGTCTGGGCAGAAAGAGGATGATTTTTTTGGGGGTGAGAGGAATTTTCCAACAAGGTGAAAAGTTGCCAGGATTTACGATTCCCTATTAATATTCTTCACACATATATGGTAAACTTTTTTAATATTACACCTAAATACATTTGATGCTTGCGTGTGTGTGTGTGTGTGAATTTCATACCGTGAGAAATAACTTTTAATCAGTTGGCAAAATGGGTGGGGGGGAAAAGCTAGAAAAATTCCTCTTCTTCAGCGCTTCTTTTCATGCGGGGAGATAATGTCAATGTGCGGCGGTCGAGGAGGGAATGAGAAAGTTGATTTAATAGATTTTAGAGACTTTTGCTTCCGAAGAAAGAGAAACTTTCACGCGGTATTGGGAAATAAATAATAGAAATGTCACCTTTTTCGTCTTTTCTTGTCTCCCGCAAATCTTCAAGAGAGAGAACTTTGCGGTGAATTCGCGGAATTTTAGCAGATTGACGCTCTTGAAACACTGGCGACAAACTTCCTTCTTTTAGCGATGAAAAAAGGCTTTTAATTTCGCAGATCAAGGGAGGTCCTCGCGTGCCAGGGATAACACAGTGTGAGATGAAGTGAATAAAGGGGGTGGAATGAGAAATTTAATTTCCGTATAATTTATGAGTGCACAATAGAAAATCGCCAGAGCAATTCCATCCACTCCCCCCCAAAACGTGTGTACATGAAGGGAAAACAAATATAAACTGGATGCATCCAGTCCGGGGGGGAGGTGAGGGTGGCGATGAATTTTCCATTGTACCTTTTGTAGTGCAAGAGAAAACCACCCCCGCCTGGACTCTCGGTCATAATTTAGCTGGGGCGCTTTCACTCCGTGCAATATGTTATTGTGCAGTTTAACTTTATACATGTTAACAGGGACAAGAAACGAATTATTCATATAACTCGTGTTATTTCTTGTAAATGCGCCTTCCATTCTCTCCACTATGTTAACTCCAGAAAGCATCATCAACACATTGTTCCAGCAACTTTGTGCCACACACACACACACTCGGGAGTGCTTCTCAAAACTAATTTATTAAATGCTACTCCATCTCGCGCATTCTTTTTCCCCGAAATCCACATGCGAAAATTCACACAATATATTGTGTATCTCTAATGTTAATTCTGCATCAGTCAAAGTGCAACTTCTAAGCCCGCACTTTGCCGTTTCGGTCTCTGGAGTCAATGAAGCGCGAAAGAGTCCTTTGAGCAGCACAACAGATTGCACACCATTTATCCTGACGGAGTTTCATCTTCAGCTCAGCTGCTGCTATTCTTCGTGGCGACACAGAAGGTGCAAATACTCGTTCGACTGTGCTCCATTAGTCTCTCCTCGTCCTCGTCGTCCTCGTCCAGCCGCTGCAGCTCCATGTAGGCCGGATGAAAGGACGCCGGCGTCGTCACATACACACATGGTTGATTGTAATTTCCTACAAATCACACCGAAATATACACACTGAGGCCACTGATTTTGGGCGCCTTTGTAAATCCCAAGGGGCAGATATTGTGGTTGGAAGTGGGGTAAAACAGATTCTGATGTTCAAATAACCCTCAAAATCATCAAAATTGTGGGAATATTTCTCTTCTTCTTGACACAAATTGAGCATTTGTGTTTGAAAAAAAAAAACGTCATATTGGTGACATTTTGGAAGTGAAAAACAACTTTCAAGTCAAACATAACCTCAAAAATATCATTTTAACCTCTTTGCTTAATTATTTCCGATGTTTCTACTTTATTATTCTTCTAAAAGGTTCTAAATTAGTTTCATAACCTCACAATTTGATCAAAATCAGGCATTTTTCGAAGACAAAACTAGGAAATCAAGACAAAAGTTGTTCTTGAAAAAATTGTGAGACATTTAATGTTTTTCTATGTTATGGGATTCATTAAAAACCTTTAAAATAGATTTTAAGTGTTCAAATAACCCTTCAAATCAATAATATTTTGTTTAAACTGGGAATATTTCGCTTTTTCTAAGCACAGTTGAGCGTTTGTGTTCTAAAAATTTCAGATTAGTTAAATTTCGGAAGAAAGAACAGCTTTTATGTCAAACATAACCTCAAAAATGACATTTTATCCTCGATAATTGTCTCTTTGCTTAGAACCCAGTAGAAACTAAAACTCATTTCCAGGTTTAAAAGGGTTTAAATGAGTTCAAAAAGATTTTAAAGCCATTTCTTATAACCTCACAATTTGGTCCGTATTTTTCTAGGCAATTTCCTAGGACGAAAATAGGAAATCAAGACTGAAATTGTTCATGAACAAATTGTTAAACATTGAAATCAGTTCTTGCAATCCGAAATTTAATCTTTTGAGACGGAAAAAAATGGATAAAATTGTGTTAAGTCATAAATGAGTGTAAGAAACAGTCAAAGTAGTCTAAAAAGCGATGGAAAATGCCTTCAGAAGTGTGTGAAGTGGCAAAGATTCTGCACAGAGGCTGAGGAAGTGTCAAGAAGTGGTGAAGAGATTTAAGGCACATTATTTCCCCCTTGTTGAATTTTTTTTGCACTTTAATTAGTAAATTTCAATGAATTCGACTTTCTACGTGTCACAAGGATGTTTGAGACGAAATTTTGCTTGTGAAAATAACGCACAAGTGGCATCTTTGTGGTAAACTTGGGAATTGAGTGAGAATGTCGGCCAGCTGTTGATTTATCACAAGTGTGCATTTGCATGAAAAGGACATTTACCAGTGAGGAGAATGGCTGCCAAATGTGAAATATAGCTCTTGGCCAGGCGCAGAGTCTCGATCTTGGACAGTTTTCTGTTCTTCGGCTCGGTCGGGATCAGCAGGCGAAGAGTGTTGAAGGCTGAGTTGACGCTGTGGGAAGAAGAAGAGGTCGATTGTGAGTGGTCTGGGTCACTGCAGGCGCCGAAGGAGTCGCTCACGAGGCCTCTAGAGATACCTGTGGGTTCTGTACCTCTCCCTGGCATTGGCCTGATACCTTTGCTTCGCCGGCAGCGAGTGGCAGGCGCTCACGGTGTCGTCGAGGGTGTAAAATTCACTCACGACGAACTCATAGTCCATCGTGGAGTCGCACTCTCGGCGTCTCGGCACTGACTGGAAGCCGCAAGCGGCAAATTGTGGGTGTTTTGTGGATGCTCTGGTGGCCATAAATATTTCTGCACTTAACGAGAAGACTGAGAGGCACAACAATCTCGTGTTTGTCTTCCTCCCCGGACGATGTCTAATGAGACACTCATTTGTGAACTATACTGATGGTGCTGATTGGTAAAACACTCCTCCCAGCCAGACATCTGCTTATCTCATCCGACACGACCGATTTAAAATTCTCCTCTCTGCGCGTTTATACTTTAACAAATTGCTCCAGTGTCTTCCAAGGCGAGAGATAAATTTCTCTCTCGGAGATTTATGCTTTCTTTCTGCACTTCTCAACATCAATTGTGTGACTCTCGGCCAAATCGAATTAAAGTGCCAAGCGAAGGGAGATTTCTTGCCAATCGACAAATTGTCCGCCAATTTTTTTCCCTTCTTTCCACTCTCAATAAGCAACATTTGACGCTCTGGGACAACTTCTCACGTGGCCTAAAGTGTCCACTTCCGTTGCCAAACACCAAATAGGTGAGTGGAGGATCATTCATCTCAATTACCGCACTTTGTGGGGGGTTTTGCTGGATTTCGGGACGGTCGTTGGGTGAAATTGCCAGTGAGTATATGAAAGTTTTGATGAGTGCATTGAAATGGATTGGACACGAGGGATGCAATTTTTCCGCACTCACCCACACACTTCGGGTGGCATAAATTGCAATCAATACAAGCAGACACTTCTGGCACTTATTCTGTGTTATATTGGTAAATGGCAATGGAGGATCTGCGGTGGTTTGTCGATGTCACAAGGATCCACTTTTGCCGCATTACCAGTACTTGTAAGCTGTCATATTCACGCTATTTTGCGCCAATCGCGCCAAAATGCCTCCGCTAAAGTGGTGGACACTCAGCTGGACTGGCGCTTATTTTGCAGATTGATTGAGAGGCTCATCACCTGAGCTCTTAGCGCGATTATTTCAAGTGCGTCACAGCATTTTCCCCCAAACAGACAATTTCGATGGATTTCGTCGCCTTTCTCACCGGAAATGCTGACGGAGTTCTCAAAAAAACAACTCAAAGAGGAGATATTGTGAAGCAGAAGTCGTTTTTAAACCACTTGATACATTTTCTAAGTTCTTTCTAGATTATAAGAGTAATTAGAGCAAGACTTTGTAAGAAAATAACCGCCAAAAACATCAATTTACACACCAAAAGTCGAAACATCCTAATTTATTGGCAAAATTAAGAATTTCTAACATTAAAAATAGGATTAAATTTTACAAAAATGTGGTTATGATTTGAATAATGTCCATTTTTTGAGTTTTATTAATAAATTTTTAGCTTAAAACACAATTGCGATAGTTGAAAACATATAATTTGTATATTTTAAATGTTTTCAGCAATTTTTATAGGTCTCTTAATGTTATTTTTTAGGTTATGATCAGCAAAAATGACTGAAAAACGATTGAGAACTTCTAAAATCTCTTATTAAAAGAACAGCGATCCGTAAAACACTCGCTTAAATGCATGAATTTGGATGAGTTGCAAAAATTGTGGCAAATTTAAGGATAAAAAATCAGCCCTTGGCGGAAATGCTACAAAACCACTGGATTGTTTTCAAATTCTACCCCTCGAAGGGTGACTTTCCCCACTCAGCATACCTGGAGGCTCCCTTGGGAATACATTGTTAATCATTTTAGGTAAATGTTCAGCCCCAAAACAAATCCCTTCGTCGCACACGAGAAGAGTGTTTATCCTCACTCTCCGCCTGGCTTTCATTTAGTGTAAATCCTCTTAAAGAGAGAGAGAGAGAGGGATGCCGGCATTCGGCCCCGAAAACAGCCCCCGAAATCTCTTGGTGACCAGTAAATAGTTGAGAATGGGGACAAAACGATGACCAGATAGTTGGGATGCGATAAGAAAGTTGAGGGCGAGTGTTTGAAATTTGTTTGAGGTAAAAGTGAGCAGTTTTGTGTATCTTGTGGAATGGTTTATGATGTGGCCACAGAGAGTTTATCCTGCCCACGACTCAACTTCTGCACATCGCCTTCCGTCAAGCCACAAATTCCTAAGGCATTTGTGCCGCAGTACAATTTTATCTGACCATCACCGTAAACTGTGTACAAATTTAATTGCACCACACTTTTGGAGGTTCTGGCTTTGGTGGTTAATGGAAAAGTTGGGTGTGTGTTTGTGTGTGAGTAAATTTATTGAAGCCCAAATGATTAACAAAATCCCTCATGATGAGAATGTTAGATCAACTTGTCGAATTCCTTCAACTTTCCTCCATGATTCTGCAGCGTGAATAATATTGCGAGGACATGCCAAAGGTACATTGTTTAATGAAAATTTGTGGTGTTTTAACTTTAATTAATTTTTCACTGATTCACGACGCGTGGAAAGTGAAAATGTTGATTGATTGCCTCTGGCAGTGCCTCTGGGTGGAATTTCTCGGGCTTCGTGGGGGTGGAAAACTATACACAAATCGCCCAACTCCTCCACCAAGGGGCCAATCACTGGCAAGTTGAGACCATTAACACTGTGATTATTCAATCATTTCTTTGATTATTTGTGATTATTACAAAATTCTGATTTTTTTTTTTGATTTTTGTCTGAATATTTAATTAAAAATTGTTTATTTCATACAAAATTCTGATTATTTTTTGATTTTTGTTTGAATATTTAAACAAAATTTGAATATAAGTGAATAATTGTAAATATTTGGAATATTCTGATTCATTGAATGAAATAAATTTCTTTTTTTATTATTTGATTATTTATCAATATTTTACTTGGGAAAACAAAATATTTTTGGTTTTTTTGATTTAAAATCTGATTGTTTTTCAATTTTACTTTGAAAAAAAAACCTTTTTTGATCATTTAATACAGAATGTTATTATTTTTCAATCTTACTTCGGAAAATAATAATTTTTTTTATTTGTCACTTTGGAATAAATTCATTTTTTGTTTGTTTTATTCAAAATTTAATTATTTGGTAATTTTATTCTGGAAAATTATCATTTTTTGAATATTTAATTCAAAAATTGACTATTTTTTAATTTTTTTCTGGGAAAATATTCATTTTTTGATTATTTTACTCAAATAGTTGACTTTTATGCAATTTTATTTGGGAAAATAATCATTTTTGAGATTATTTTTCTCAAATAATTGATTGTTTGATTAGAGAATATTGAGTTTCCTCAAAAATCGCCTTGTGATTTGCCCCTTGTCCTCGACACACTATATATTGCAGTGCGGAAAATATTGGCCAAAGTGCGTGATGATGATCATAATGAAATTTTAAACACTCTTGCTCGCGCGGGGGTGGCAAAAGTGCCTCGCCGCGATGATTGGCGAGCTTTCTCAGTGCGCGACTTGGGGTGTGGGCAAAATGGTAATTGCGCGAATAGAACGATGACGCCATATAATTAATCACAACAGTCATACCGCTAATTAAATTCGTTAAACATCTGCTGCCAACACTATATCTTTCCAACTCTATTACACAAATTCAATGCATGAAGGGGCAATTTCGATACAGGGAAAACTCACCCCCGGCACAGCCAAAGCACAGCCACACATATTTTATTGCATTTCGTGACAACGCGTCGTGCGATTGGGCGTAAAAAAAAAATCACCCACAAGACGCAACACGAAGGGAAAATCATCGGTAAATATCCAGTGGGAAATTGCCTCAGCAGTGATTATATTAGAATTTATGATTGAGAAGTGATTTCGTCAGCAAATACTGCCGTGGAAAATTGAGTGAAAATATATGCGAGATAAACACCAGTGAAAAATGCTTCAATTTTCCCTTTAGACAATAATCAAATTGCACCAATAGTTTATTTTTTACAAGCTCAGGCATTTAACGATTGAGCTTTGTTATAAATTAATGCATTTATTTCGATGTTTCTCGTTTTTATTGTGCGAAAATTGAAAGTCAATATGAATGACATGTGTATGAATTTCATTAATTTTATTTAATATATGCGCTACATATTAATAAATATCTTGATAGGATGGTGGTGCACAAGGGGCTGCTAATGTGGTTTTTGAGTGCCACAGAATCTTGCAATTTATTCGGGAATCTCCAGATTGATTAGATTCGTCGGAAGAAATATTTCGTGATTCAATAAGGACGTAAATAATAATATATAGAGAAAAGGAGTAAAGAAAAGGGCTTTGCTGTATAAAATTTGTGCTGAAAATTTTTATGTCTCTCAAAACATTTCTCAATTTTCACATTTTTGCTTAAAACTGTCACTAAATAATTTTTTCCACGCTTGAATTTATCCATTTTCGTACAGAATCCTTCCTAACATCCTTTTTAGCGCTTCAATGTCCATCCTTGGGTTTTGAATCTTCTTCTAAATACTCTTTTTAAAGCTCAAAATGTAATTTTTCACCTTGTTTTCTACTATTCTCGCTTGAAATGCCATTAATTTCGCATTTTCGCGTCCTTTTCCTGCCTGTTTCACACATTTGCACATTCTTTGACTCTGGCGTGATCCTGATTAAGAAACTCACCTTTCTAACTGATTAAAATGATAAAAATTCAAATCAAAGAACGGAATATCCCGAAATATGTTGAATATTAACCAAGAAAAGTCTTTTTAAATTAAAATTCAACACTATAACTCTCATTTTTCACGGGAAAAACCTTGGAAAAGACATTCTAAGCTCATCATAATCACTAATTTGGGGGTAAAAATGGTTGAATTGATACTTAATTCAATTCTTACATTTATATTTATGCGCTTTTCGGTAAATTCTACACCAAAATATATTTTATCCTGTTTCATTTCGTCTGTTTGTTAAGAAAAACATCTAAATTGCAATTAAATCCAACCATTCGATGCATTTTGACTGCATCTCGGACATTAGCAACCCCTTGGTGGTGTAACAATGGGGAGGAATGGGTTACAAAAAATTACATATCGATTTTCAGGCGGCAATATCGAAAAATAAGCCCATTC